ATATAGTTATCTTTTGAATGGGTTCATGAGTTATAATTTGTTTCTATTTCTAAGATAAATGTTGGGATACTCGAGTTTCTAAGCAAGAAATGAAATATAAGCATTTCGAAATTCATTTTTTCTAATAAAGAGCTCTTAAACAAATTTTTGCTTTTGGGGATGTGAATTCTTTCATTAAACGGTTCTAAATTTGGCGACTTTTACTTTTAAACATTTGGCAATTTTAAGCTTAGATGTATGAAAACTTTAATTCTGAGATCTGAGGATTTTTCGACAATTTTTTTTAAAACATCGTAACATTGATAAACTTCATTAAAATAATGGTAATATATTGAAATTATATTTAAAAAATAACATTAAAATAAGACATTTTTATTTTTTGATGTCATATTATAAAGTTTCATTTTGGCAACTTAGTATACAATATTTTGAACCTGAAAAGTAAACAAGGTATAATGCTATAAAGCACAGTTTATGAAACAGCTCTTAGCAAAAGCAAAATTAACTTTGTAATTAATTAAAAATGTCTTGTTTTTAATTTTTTCATAGTAAGAGTTTTCCCCATGTAATTGTCTCAGAATATTCATAATTCTCAGAATGTGCATCAGTTTTCTCTATAAAAGGAATTTTATACTTTTCCCTCCTTTTTTTTCCAAAATTATTTCTGACTTTTTGCTGTTACATAAATGGTAGGGATAATTTTTCTTTAGGATTTTAGACATTGCAGCTTGGAAAGTTTAGAAGGATTTGAAGGTAAGATTTATAGGCCCACGAATCTAGAAGATTCGAGAAATATGTGACAAAATGAAAAATGTCTCCATGGTATCAACACGTAATGGATGTATTTTAGAGAAAGTTTGCAATGAATTTCTTACTTTTTGGAGAAGTAATGAATGAAGTTTTTGCATGTTTACTTCTGATACTAAAATCTTAACATATTTATCTTTCCTTAACTTTCTCTACTTTTCACTAGATACAAGCATGGAAAATATCAAAAATGCTTCTAATCTTATCACATGGGCAGCCATTATGGAAAGGGATTTTTTTATTAATAAAGCAATTGAAAAGATTCATCTAATATGTCTTAATGTACCATACACATAGCTGGCACTAGACATTTTCCCAGTTGATGCAATCTCTGTGGTTCCTAAATTCTGTTGCCTAGTACCTTTCTAAATGCTTCTAATGCCAGCTCAAAATTCTAAAAGTTTTGCCATTTCTAGATTTTGTTGTTCGGTGTGTCATTTAATTCTAAAAATTCTACCACATCAGCTTTGTAACTGGCCTTTACCATATATATTTCATATTTCTTCTGAATATCCATATTACTAAAATAAAATTAGATGCTTTTTCTGTACATTCTAAATGCATTTAGTGTTTTTAGAATAACAGAAATTCTTAATTAAATCCAAAATTCTAAAATGAAAGGAAAACGTGCTGAAGAAACTGAATGCATAAAGAAAATTATTCTTCAAAGATATGTGCAGCTATTATTATGTAAATTACCTAATTATTTATGATTTCAGCCTTTACTAGAATTTTTCATTTCTATTTCCTCATATGATAGAGTTACTGAGCCAGATTAAATTAAAATTAACTTGTATAATCTTTGACCACTAGTCCACATTATTAGTTTGAATTTGACTGTTCTTGTTTAATTATGCCACCATGATGTGTAATTGATTTTTTTAGCATCAGAGCATACCTTAAGTTCTTTTTAAATAAGATTCTGATTTAAACCTTTGTCTGATATTGTAGTTAATTTCAGACATAGCAATAATGAGCTTCATGTCTGTCGGGGGTTTTGAACAATTTAACTTTTACCAGATCAATTAAACTGTCATAGGTACATTGTGGAGAGGTTGACAAGTTAGGAGATAAAGCATGCAGAAACTAGCAAGAGCATTGGTTTGCATATTGAGACAAATCTCTAATTGTTAGAAAAGATGCTTAAAGAGAAGGAAATCGATATAAACTAGCCAAAATGTTTTAAGAATCTGTGTCATAAATTGCATATATTTTAAACTGTGAAATTTTATTAGATTTTGATTTTATAGGGCTTTTTTTAACAAATATTATTAAAAAATAAAATTTAATAGTGATCATGTAAATCCATAATGACTAAGGTTATCAAACTACCTAATGTAATTATTTATAACTGCTTACCCTTAAAAATTAACTCTACATATTAGAGTATTAATACTCTTTGTGGTCACAAGATGAAATATAAAAATGTAAAAATTCAAGTTAAAAAAACAACTTATCACCTCTGGTGCTTTAATGGCTTATTGGAGCCTTAAAGTATATTAACTGGGTTACAACCCCTGGAACTGTATACGAAGCTACGACACTAACTGCATCAAACAGAGCCTAAATAACTTTCAACACTTGCCAACTGTGCCTACATCAGGCCTTTCAGGTTTGTTCTAATCAGCAGGTCTTTCTCTAGACAAGCAGTAGCAGTGACAACATTCAATCTTTTGTTAAGAATGATGCTGATTATGATCTTATTTCTCATTTTAACGTATGCTGTTTGACATAAAATCTACTTGCTATTTACTAAACCTCTAGACTGACCAAGTGTGGGACAAAATGAGACATAAAATAAATTAACATAAAGCTAACTGTTAGTAAAACGTAAATGTCACTATCTTCTTTCAAATATTACCAACTATTATAAGCGTAAAATATTTAATGCTATTTGATAAATTGCAGAATGTTTATTTTATTCTCAAACTCATTAACAATTATGTTAATTAATTCATGTTTAGTAATAATACATACTACTTAGGGATCTATTTTATTTTTAGGATTGTATTACAAAAGTGAAATTCAGGCATAGATAATATTTTCAATTGAATTTATTCAGTTCCCATTTGTTCATAGGTCCTTAATTTTTTTCACTAATGGTCTTTAAAAGTCCTTAAAAGTACTTAATTTCCGTGTGCAGAAATGTGTACAAACCCTGTTCCATCTTTAACTTTTCCCTGTTTAAAGGATCATTTATAATTCTATCTAGCATTTGTTTAGTAAATATTTCATTATAGTTCTTTCTATTCAAAATCATCCCTTAAGCATACAGTTTTAATATCAGAAGGAACATCTACATCAAGTTCCAAAACAATTTCCTTTAAGTCACATTTCTTGCCCTTTGCCAAATAAGCTATCTTCAATTTTCATATAATAATACAATAATTATACTTCTTTCTGTTTAATACTTAGACATAATATAAACAGTTTATAAATGCAGGTACCTTTCTACTTTTGGTTTTGGCAAGCTTCCACATTCAATTTAGGCTAGCATACATTAAGGCAATATGTTGTTGAATCCTTGATAATAACCCTTTTTAACCCACTTCTGAATTGTTAGATACTTTTATCATTAAGAAACATTCTTCACTTATACAAGTAAATCTTCATTCGGGCATTACTTGCATATCACTGAGATGGTACAACTAAAAATACAAAATTACTATGCATACTTCAAACATTACTGTTCAAATTGGCATCCACCATAATTACTCTTTCATTGCCACTCAAGGAAAATATATTTTTAAATAAAATCAATGCATTGTGTTTACAAATGTTTGTTCCAGTATCAAAGTTAGGATTAGAAAATGCATGTTACTCAGTTTGATGTCTATTTAACAATTTTGTTTGAAACACCTAAAAAATCAATATACCTGCAGCACATAGTGATGGTTCTGATGAAATCTGTAAGCTGAAATGCAGTTTGTAGGGATTGAAACAAGTATTATGCTGCTGGAAGAAGCTTGGTTTCAAGCACATGTTGAAAATTATTTCAAGCCTATATATTGATGATGGTATGGTCGCAAAATTTGATCTCCAAGAATTAGAAAAATTCACCAAGGAATGAAGTCGAGATTCAGAATCACAAACAAACCGGCTATATATATATATATTTTTTTTGTATTTGAACTTAAGCACCTTGTAAATGGAAGCATAAAAATTAGTCAGAAAGTTTATTAAAAAAAAAATATTAGCTACAAGATCCAATTTAGCATATTATGTTGGCATTCTTTCACATCACCTTGAAAAATCCTTTAAAAGATGATTGAATCAAATTGAAACATTAGTTCAGATGGAAAGCCATTTGTTTTCTTAAAGGTATGACATACAAAAACACACAGGACAGAAAAATTCGACGTGATGCAGATTTCAGAGGATGTCAAAAGTTAGGAAAATCTACATGTGGTGGACGGTATTGTATAATGGTGGAGATAATATGGTTAACCAAAGACAGTCATTGATTGCAACTTTACTAACTGAAGCAGAGGTAATTGCAGTAAGTGAGTGTTCTATGAAAAAACATTTGGTTAAAATGACTATTTAGAGGTACTACTAAGTTGCATGGTTCCAGTAATTCAAGTAGATAACACTGCTGCAGTCACTGCTAGACATACATCTACAGTTCCATTGACATATAAAATCTATTAATATCAAGCACCTTTTTCATACAAAAGAAAGTTTTAGTAAAGAAAACATTGTACAGCAGATACCGACAGAGGAACAAGTTCCTGACATAGTGACTGAACCACAGTTTAAATTGATAAGATAGTATTCTTATACATTTCTAATCTAGTTTATTATTATTTTAATTTACAAGAGAAGGTGTTGAAATATATTATGTTAAAAAAGTAATAATACTGTATAATTTAGTTTTTGCCATCATAAGTGTTTTTTTGTTGTCATTCTGAGTTAACTTCCTCACACTTTAATGTTGCAAAGCTGCAACAACATAGTTATTTTAGTAATTCTAATTAAACTGCATGTTTTTGATTTGATATTTTTTTCGCCTTAGTTTAGAAATGCTTTTAAATAATAATACATATAAAACATTGTATAATCATAATATTTAAAAACAAATATTCCAATATGTTTTTATCAACAGAAATTCTTGTTAATATTTTCTTAAATTCAGAATGATTAGTGTATTCCACTCATTATGATTAATTTATACATTTTCTTCTTTTTCTTAGCTAGAAAACCTACTATTAGATAAGGATGGTCACATCAAAATAGCTGACTTTGGATTATGTAAAGAAGATATTAATTATGGTGCTACAACAAAGACATTTTGTGGAACACCAGAATATTTAGCTCCAGAGGTAGCTCTTATTGTATAGATATTGTTAAAGCAAGATATTTATATGTTTATTCACTACTTGGAACTTTGGTTGTTTCTGGGAGCAACCAAAGTTGTAATTCAATAATAAATTTGCAGTGTGTGTTTTTTTTTTTGGGGGGGGGGGGTTAACATGTCATCAATATTCACTGTCTTTTTTTTAACTAGAAGCTCATTCCTGTGCTACTTATTATTGGCATATTTTTTCGATTGTAATTTTCTGAATAGATCACTCAGCATTTGCCAAGAGTCGTGGATTATTGCCAAACGGTAAAACTTTTGTAATTTACAAGCAATGAAATTGCACATCACTAATGAAAACATGATTGGATGTGTAGCATTAATGCTATTATTAGGTAATAACTGGACCCATGGGGGGGTATTAGCCAAATCCGACTTGAAGTGCTTTCAAAGTTCCCAGTATGAATAATACACAAGTACTAAAAATAATTCTACTTTTAAATCAAAATATTAGAATAGCACTAGCTGTAAAAATGATTAGCAGTTTAAAAATACTACAACTACAGCAATAAAGGGTTCTTCTCAGAATATCTTCATATTTTGCAGACAGCAATCATAATTATTTTGTGATTCATTTAAAGGAAACTTGTAGAGAGTATTATTTTTTTTTAAAGCAGGGAGTATGAAAAATCAAATTTATGTGTCAGAAATTGAATCCTAGAGCACCATGGTAGATGTTTACCATTAAAAAAATCACAAGAGCGTGTACAGAAAGAATACCAGAATCCAGAGCAGCTAGGGAGAAGCATGAGATAGATTCAACCATATCCAATTGGTGGCAAGTCACCACATATCAGCACAGATTCACTGTAGAGATTTTAAAGCAATTTTGAACTGCTAAACATGAAAAATCAGCTGTGCCTTTCTGGGAATCATTGATATTCCAGTTGCTAGTTGGATGTGCTAACTACAACATGTGCTAACAAGAGTGTACTCTGTACAAATGCTGTAATTCTGTACAATCTTATTTTTAGTCACATTTTCTTATCTGTTACTGTCTATGGAATTTATTAGGGAGACTAAACTTTTAAGCTGTGATTGCATGTTTGGCATTGTATTGGTGCTGAGCTTCTTTTTAATTAACCAAGATAAACATTTTCTTTGAATTACCTGATTTAAATGAAAATTTCGTGTTTCCATCCAATAAACAGTATATTTTCTGCATGATTTAGGGCATAAAAATTAGACAGCTAATTAAGGCATCTTGTGTAGCATAATTTTCTTCTGATTAAAGTTATTTTTAATTTCTTATATTACAAGGAAATAAACACAATAGTGCTATTTTTTCATATATATTGCAAAAAATGTTATTTCAATTTTAAAAAAAGGTAAGTTATTTATAAATTATTTTTTTTTAAAGATTTGTATTGTAAGATTACAGTTTGTATTTATTATCCGGGACAATAAAGTGTGTATTATTCTATAATGAGGGATATATACACTGAAATGCCAAACATTGTGACTACCTACTCAGTAACACAATAGCATAGGAAAAAAAAAAACATTTTTGTTTCTAGCGCACTAGATTGTGTATCGTAAATTCTAAGGATATGCTCTTTTTAAATTATATGATATTGCTGTTGAATTGAATTTTATGGTTTTAAGTGCGAAGAATATGATATTTAATAAATAAAGGTAACACGCAAAACATAAAAAAAAAAAAAAAAAAAAAAAAAAAAAAAAAAAAAAAAAAAACCTGCCCTTTGGCCGTAATATAAAATCTGAATGCTTTCAAATTTTTTTTCTGTGTGTGTGTAATTTTATTACGGCTTAAAGCTGTTTTTTTTAAGTGATTTCTGAGGGAAACTGGCTCATATACACGTTACACATGGGGAAAGCCACTAAAGCGCCGATGCGGCCAGCTCGTTGAACCTCGAACCGAATTACCTGTGTTCTGCGACTATACCGCTTGGCCGCTGGTGGCCTTGTGAGCAGAATTATAGTGCATTATTGTTGTATTATGCTATAAAGTAACAATGCTGTAAGACTGGGAGTTTGTTCATGAAATATTACTTTTGTAATCTGTTAGTATTAAAAAAATCATTGTTTCTTTGCAAATTAAAAAAAAAAAAAAAAACCCGCTGTTCATAGCAGAGTTCTCATTTTTTGTAAAAGAGATATCGATTATTTTTGGTTTTCTATTTAATGTGTCAAAACACTAGTTTGACAAGGACTTCTTCAACTACAGGAGACCTACATTGATTATTTTTACTTTAGTATTTCCATTGTGAAAATAATATTACTTATGTTTTAATTATTTTCACAGAATAAAATCTTTTGAGAAGGAAGAATATCTAAAATAATCAGTTCTTATATATATAAGAAATTAAAATAACAGCAATGTAATATTAAAAAAAAAACTATTACTAATATATGCGTGACAAAAATTGCAATACAAATTAATCACACCTACAGAACAGATTAGTATAATTTTGGTTATATATTTTGTATTGAAAAATTATTTTCTTTTATGTTAATTATAGAATAAATTATTTAAAATAAAACATTTTGATGCATGTGTGATAGCTGAATGCAGCAGCAATCGGCCATACTGTAATAACGAATGAATTTTATTTCTTTTCCTGAAAGAAATAATTTTCATAGAAACAGAAACTTAAAAAAAAAAAAAAAGAGAGAGAGGAAGAAACATTAAGAAAGAAATATTTCTTTCTAATTTCTTACTTTAAGAAATATTTTTCTAATGTTAACTATAAAATAAATTGTGTGAAAACAGTTTTAATGTAAGCATGAAAAAAATAATAATAAATAAAAAACTTAGTTTGCTATTAGGTTGTAATGCAAATTAATCATAGTATAAATTTAAATGATTAAAATTGTTTATTTCTAAAAAGATCTGAAGTAAGCTTAATTCATTTACTTTTATCTATGTACCATTGCTTTCACGGTATCCCACATCTCTCTTTATTTCTTAGCCTAAATTCCTGCGTTAACTTTCCCCTTAAAAAAACGGGATTTTCCTTCACATCACACAGCAGCATATTCTGCTGTGTGTTGGTCATAATACTGCTTTGTGCCATTTTTTTTTTTCGAACTACAAATACAGCGTATGAGTTAGTGAAATAATATGAGAATATTCCTAGAACTTCAGCCAGCATGTGCTATAAATTTTGTCGCTCGTCTGTACTGTGATTGGTCTAAAGCTCCTTGAAGCCTTGTCCCTCTTTCAATAAAAGCAAATGGACCCACCTGCCCTCCAACTGAGAACCACAGAATGTCTTTCTCTGATAAGTTGTAATGGCTGTCCATACCATTTTTTTTTTTTTTTTTTGTTATGAGTCAATATTGTTCGCTCAAGTTGTAGACGTTTCCAGTCATCATAAAATAGGTGTCCTGAGCTGCCACTCCATGTCATCCCAAATTTGCTGTATTGGTTTAAGATCCAGTAAGTTAGGTAGCCAGGACATTAACTGGAATTCATTCTTATGTTTCTCAAACCGCTCTAACACAATTTGAGCCTTGTGACATGGGTGTTGTTCTGCTGGAAGATTCCTAGTTGAGAAGATAGACACCATGTGAGGGACAAATAATCTTCAATTATGTTCAGGTAATCCACAGCTTTCAAGGTGTGTTCTATCACAACTAAGGGTCCCAAAGCTCCAAAGCTGGGACATCCATGGCAACACCCCCCCAAAGTGGGATACCGCTACTGCCAGCTTGTGTATTCCTTGATGTGTGTGTGTGGGGGGGAGCAACTGTTCACCTGGAAGATGGTGTACCCTGACACAACCATTAACATGATGAATGAGAAATCATGATTCATCCGACCAGGCAACTGTCTTCCATGTATCCATTATTCAGTCTCAATGTCCAGGGCCCACTGTAGGCATAGTTGACAATGACGCTTGGTCCACAGAGGCACATGAGTGAGATGTCTGCTGTGCAATCCCATTTCCAGCAGTGCCCACTGAACTGTGTGTTCTGAAACATTTACACATGGACCTGTATTGGTCACTTACTCATGGGCATCAGCTGAACCACTGCATTCTGAAACACTTGCACATAGGTTGCCAGCTGAACCTCTGCATTCTGAAACACTTGCACATAGGTTGCCAACTGAACCTCTGCATTCTGAAACACTTGCACATAGGCTGTCAGCTGAACCACTATCTGGCACCAGTTTTGCTGTACCAAGTGGAACAGTCTCCAACGTCCTTTTCTTTGATGATGTGTGGACATCCAAAACCTTCGCATCTACTGTTCACTATTTTTTTTTTTTTTTTTTTTAAGTGGTGCTACTGGTTTCATCATCATTTATCCACTTTGCATAAATACTGAGAACTGCAGATCATCAACAACTTACCAGTCGTGGAGTTTTGGAGATGCTCATTCCAAGTTTTCAGGCCTTTACAATTTGCTCTCTATCAAATTCATTTAGATCAGTAGTCTTTCCTATCAGTTGCAAAAGTAAGTTCAAGAATGATTCCTTACCTTCTCCAGCAGCAGTTAAATACCATTCTCACTTAATCACATGCCCTCCATGTCATCCAGATATGTTCGTTGAAAAATATGGGGATGGTCATAATGTTCTAACTCATCAGCGTATTTTGTTGTGTTAATGAAGTATTTTTTTAATTCTGTATCAGTAGATTATTTTTCAAAATGTTTTAAAGCATAATAGCTGATTTAGATATTTTTCTGTTTTCCGTTTCATTTTCCCCAGGTATATTTATTTTGATAGATTTCCTGTATTATTAAAGTGTTCTGGGTTTCCTTCAGACCTTTTAGTCATTCTTCTCATTCTTAATAAATGATAACTTCATGTATCTGAAAGCCTAATTCTTCTCATATATCAACCAGTGTTAAGCATATTTCAGCAGTTATATAAATTTTTGCATAGTAATAAATAGAATGATCATATAAAAAATAATGTAGTTAATTATGATAACATTACACGTCGAACAAGTACTAATTTAGAAGTCAAACAACAAAAATCAGCGATAT